CTCCAGAACAGAAAATCAGTAATCACAAGGCTCAAAATCAGTAATTTGGGGTATAAATCAGTAATTTCTTATGCGGCGCTATGAATCTAAAAAAACGACACGCCAACACTGCGCGGACGCATGATTATCTGAAATTTTTGGTGATTTTACTCACACAAAGATGTTAAGTATTGAATTTCAGGTCATCACAACACAGTTTATCATGAAAAATGGCTCCTATTCACAGCACTCGCTACGATAAATCATATTTAATTCATTAAAAAAAAAAAAAAAAAAAAAAAAAAAAAAAAAAATTTTTTTTTTTTTTTTTAAATCCGTAATTTGAGACAACATTCCGTAATGGTCGTTAATTTCCGTACCAATTACGGAAAATCCGTACTAGTTGGCAGCTCTGTATAACCATGATTTGAAGAAGATGTTGATTTTGGAAAGGTGGCAAACATACTCCAGGGAGGGTATTAGAGGGGGTACATGTACAAATGTATGTATTTTGACATCTGTGTTCACTGTTGTAAGTATTAATATAATACCTTAGTAATAATTAGCATAATCATTCATTAGGACTCATCATTCATATTTGTTTGTTCTTCTTTTTCAACTTAAAGAAATACCTATTAAAGGATATGAAAAATCTTCATTTCTAGGAAAGATTAATTTTGCATGCCCTCCCCCCTTCTTCTTGTAGCACCTTCCTTTAATATTCACACTTCCCTTTGAGCATGGTAGGAAAGTGGTTCCTGCTTTCTATCATCCAACTTTAAAAATTCCTATAAAAGGATATGAAAAATCTTCATTTCTAGGAAAGATTAATTTTGCATGCCCACCCCCCCCCCCTTTCTTCTTGTAGCACATTCCTTACTCTTTCACAATTCCCTTTCTGTGATTTTTCTTTTGAGCATGGTAGGAAAGTGGCTCCTGCTTTCTATCATCCTGGCTATATCTCTCTCATTTCTCTCTCTCTCTCTCTCTCTCTCTCTCTCTCTCTCTTTCTCTTCTTCTCCTCAATCACACAGAGTGAATTCAAGTCATCTCCCTCATTCACAGAGAAGCCAAGTTATCTCCCCCCCCCCCCCCTACCCTACCTCCCTCCCTCCATCTCTCTCTCATTCGAAGAGCGTTCAGAAAGGGAGAAAAGCCCGATAGAGACATGACATCTTGTTTTGGAGAGCGCATCTGTAGGAAAAAAAGTGTGCCTCCGGTATCACTCAAGTGCCCGGGTCCATAGAGAATGGCATACAGAAGCACATCTTCAAGTATATAACGAGGAGGAAGTGTCTCCATCTCCCTCAAACCACATTGCCACACAGTATAAGGCTACCTACCCCAAAAACACTTGAAATGAATATTGTAGGGCCTCAGGCATTTCATAAATAATCAATTCAAATTTCTTTTTTTTCTATGAGATGTAACTTTTCATTGACCTAAATAAGAAATCCAGTTGGATAATGTTATCATTATTATACTGAATATCACTGGTCTTTGACATCATTAAGTTTCGTTGTAAAATACACATATAAAGTACTGTATGTTTTAACATATGTACATAATATACTTTATTGTTGTTGTTGCCTCTTTGCTTGCAAGGTCAGGCCAGGTTAGTTGACAATCCTTTCCCTTTTTTAGCCTTAAAATGCCCATCAAAAAGGTATCAAAAAGTAAAGCCAATTGTCTACATAAATGATGTATCCCTCTTCAACTACTGTAGTATGAATAGAAAAAATGGGAAAGAATGTTTGATTTTCCCCATTTTTCATTGAAGGGAACTTCAGTAACACTGGCTTGCAGATTAGTATCCATGCTTTGAAAAATACTGTTCTGCTTCATATCATCACAATTATGCATTCATACAAACTATATATGCAACTGGCCCTACAATGTTTTATACACTGAGATAGGCCAGGTTGAATTGCTTCCTTGTTCCGCATCACCCCCAAGTTGTATTTTTCTGCCCCACACATTTTTTATTCAAATGTACAGTACATGTTCTTTTGTTTTGACATGAACTCAAGAAGAATCTGAAATAATGTGCATGTATATGTAGGCAATGAAGTAATTTGAACATAAATCATAATAACATAACATGGCACAATTTCAACAAAACAAATTTAATGAAAGGAAAATGTGTTAATGACTGATCCAAATGAATCAGAAAAAATATCAAACATGAAATAACCTACAGGAGGACTCTCCTTGTTTGGAAAAAAACAACAAAAACCATCTAGACAAGAAACCAGGAATCTATTTTACTTGGCCAAACTTGTGGGTGGAAACACTGTTCCATCAAGCAAAATGTTGACTTCATGAATACGATAGATCCATTTGTACATGTATTCCTGTATATCCTCACCCACCCCCTACGATATAATAAGCAGTTAAATCTGGTACAACCTTCCTTAGATTTCAATCTGATGCTCGCATTAAAAAAGTTTTCAGGCCATGATCAACGACGATTTTCATGTAGTGCCTCCTCATTTAACTCACTGATGAAATTCATGTCCCGAAGCAGAACGGAGGTTGATGCCGGCAAGATGGCAATTCAGCAGGGATTGTTTACTGCGCCTTACAGCGACATGTGCCCATATGCTTAACCCTTTGAAGTTCACGCCGGCTCACAGTTGATGCCTAGTCTACGCAGGCAATAAAAAAAATCTCACTTTGCTTCAGGAAAGACAAAGTACAATGATAAATTTGTCTGTGATAATGGTAGCAATAAAGCCTGGATGGAAAATTGATGAAAACTAGTATTTCTTGGTGCATCTATACTATATGGAATAAATCTATTTAAGTTTCTTTTCTATACCCGTCTGCATCTCAATGCACATCATTTATATCCTATATTCATTTCTATGGCTAATGATGCATCACCTAGATATTTCTTCCTCTCTGATTCTGTCTTGACTATAATAATTTTTTCATTCCTAGATTTAGGTTGCAATGAAGAGAAGAAGTATTCATAGATTATAATTCAACAATCATTCGATATTACATGAAAGGGAATACAATGGGTATTTGCGTGTTATTTTGCACACAAAAAAAGATTTCTGTTACCGGTATTAAGAATTATGTCAGTCGCAATTAAGGAGATGGGATGTCAACTTAAGTAATCTTTAAAAGTGAATTCAACCCTGATACCATGTACTGTACATGTAGCAGACTCTTCTAAAAGAAAGCAGTAAAATCAGAGAAGCAGACTGGTGAAAGTTTGAATGAAATTGGACTACCGGTATACGTACAAAAATTATGATTTTTTTTTTTGTTCTGATTCCTACACAAGTGGGAATTTTCAAATTGGTGAATCAGCATTGTCAACCCTGTGTAGTGCCTACAACATTCCCATTTGTTCCATCTCACAAAATTACTAAATTGTCTTTCTTTCTTTTTAATGTATGACTCAGTAGAGTCTTTGCTTTTTAGAAGAATCACTTGTAAAACATATGTTACCCATTATTTGTATTAGTGCCTGAATGCCTGACTGTGCCCCCAAAGAAGGCACTTTAATACTAGGGGGAAAAATGAATGGTGTTTCATGTACGTAATTATTATGAGGGCCAACTTCCCTATATTCTTTTACAAAATGACTCGCCGATCGCAAATTGAACAAGGTTCACTGAAAAATATTGCCACAATTTTTAAGGGTTTCCCCATAGTGCGGTTTCTGTATGGATTTTTATGGGTGCACATGTGCACCTCCACTTTTGTAATGAACCGTGTGTTGGAACTGTACATGAGCAGCACATTTAAGCAGTACAGCCAATGCATGCATACATTGTGCACCAGTTTGGGCTTTCAAAACAGACCTAATTTCGCAAGACGTTCATTCCACTTCACAAGTTTCATGCTGTGAAACGATTGGATCACCCGAGTCCAGGGCAAAGCTGAATTTTCCTATCAAGTTTCTTTTTCACAAAAGTGGCTCTCGTTTACAATTCATAAAGGCATTAGGCCTATTGTTCATGTCACAAAATTCTTACTCCCTTGGTCTTGCCTCAACAGATCACATCCATTTCAAACACTAACTTATTAAAAGTTGCACAACTTGAGATTGCCTGCAGTCTAGATCTATTTCATGATTTTCTTCAAAGGACAAAAATAGATTGGCGCTCTTGTATTTTTTTGCACTGGTACATGCATTGGTGTCCTCATTTCTACTCTAGATCTAGCCCATTAGGCCTATACTAGTCTGACATAGATCTACTCTACAGTACACAATCATCTAGCGTGTGACAGAATGAAGCATGCCCGGCCCGGTTTTATACTGATACTTTTTATAGATCTTATAAAGAAGAACATGCATGATGCAATGACCACTGTAGTCTACTTGATCATGATCTGATGCATATTTTTCATAAATAAAGACTTATGAAAATTAGATCTAGATTCTAGATCTATATCTATCATAAACTAAAGTCAAATGCCATGCCAAATATTATCAGATTGATTTTCAGTTATCCCTGGTTATTGAATCTATGTGTAGAAAACTATACTACAGAAAACCAACCCCTCCTTTATCCGGACAACTATCATTCAGTTCCCATCTTGTAAAGTTGTGACTGAAGTGAAACGAGCTACGACTAGTACGAGTATCACACACTGCACAGCTGACTGAAGTCTGACTCAGTGCGAGTCTGATGAGTGAAGTGAAGTGAACAATAGAAATATTTTTCATACCAAAATAGTCTAGATCTACTCGTCTAGACAGCTCTTGTTGTACTAATTAATAACACACATTAATGATTTTATTACCGCAATTTATACTAACTAATTTCCAATTTCTAAACTGTTGGTTGCTCACATTAGTCACTCACAATCAACTCAAAGTCAATTAATCTAGTGCGCGCGATTTGGAATGACTATGACTCTCTACGCGATACGCCGAAGATATCCCGGTACAGGCCAATCGTTTCCCGCACATTTTAGCATCGGCTTCCTTGTGTCGACACGATTTTAGAAAATGAAATTCTACAGCGAATACAAATTTGTAAACGTTGTTTTATACTTACTACTAAACACTGGAGTTCTGAATCCTCTTTCAACTTTCTAAATGCAGAATAATATCCCCGATGTATTATAACTGAAGTATTGGAACAAAATGTGTACGACAACCGGCGAATTATTAAAACACCGGTAAATTAGTCAATACCTAGCGATCGATATCAAATGTGCACGATATGGACACGTGCTCCAAGTGGTATCCGAAAAAACTCCCTCTCTGTTGTTTCTATAGTTATAAAACACGGAATTCCTCTTATTTTCATATCCGAAAAATCTTACGTTGTTTTAAAAAATAAAGGATCTCTGTCGTAACTCGATCCCTCAGGATTTCCCTTGCTATACGTTTTTTTTAATGAAAGAGATTATTGGTGGTTGGTACTACACAGTGGCGGATCCAGGGGGATCTGCCCCTGGATCCGCCCCTTAAGAAAAAAAAATGATGTAAAAACACGTGATTTTTACCTTTTGGGGGGGGGGTGCAAATTAATTTTTAAAATTTTCAAGAACCCAAAATAAAAATGTGCTCACTACCCCCCCCCCCCCCCGCTCTTCAAATAATGAAAATCATTAACGGATGCACAGCATGATAATTCCTAAAATGAAATGGAGATAATAGGAGTGACAGATCTCCCCACTTTCAAAGGTCAAGGGTTGTGAATTATCCCTCCAGATCGTCATGATTCAGGCAGCATGGCGCCCGATACTGATAACCGTATTTATCTTTTATATCGAAATGAAATTTATACAACCGTTATTGTCTTTTTGCCCCTAGCTCGCTTCAATTCTCGCACAAAATATATTGATAAATCAAATGATTCCTGATGGCAACGAGATGACCAAATATGATTTATAATTTCATATAGTGCATATTGATGACTAAATAACATTTTTGCTATATTGAAAGTGCAATATTTTGGATTCGGATAGTACATTTTTCAGGCTATATAAACCCTTACGCGAAAATGTTCACGTATTGTGTATACGGGCCTCGACTGGATGGAAAACAAATGCTCTTTGATTAATTTTTGATTGAGGTGACGCGAAACTTTTTAACTCCTAAAAGGGTGCTGTGACTAAAAAAAAAGGTATAATAAGGCCAAATAATTTTAAAAAAAACATGTTAAGCGTCCTGTTTTTTTCGAAAAAATAGGAAGGAGGAGGCCCTTTTTTTTTTCTTTCTTTCAAAATGGCCGCTAAAAATGGCTGCTCGGCACATTTTCCTTGAAAGTCGAGCTTTTTTCAAGATGGCCGCCGACATTTTTTTTTTTTTTTTTTAATCAGAAATAGATCCATTTGAGTAGTGTTTTTCATGTGTTATTTTTTCTTTTTTTTTTTAATTAAAAAATTTCAACCAAAAAAAACCCAAAAAACAAGAGGAGGCGGCCCCCAAAAAGGAAGCATATTTGTTAATGGCCTAAACGCTGGTTTCCCGTTTCCGGGGGTTATTGTCCTACAATTCAGGGCCTCCTTTAGAAATTAGAACATGTTGCCCTCTTTAGGCTTACCCATGCGTTAACTTTCGCCTTGTGGTTTTGTTTAGGATCGTTTCCTGTTATTTTCACACCCACTTTGTGGTTAACAAGTTATATTCTTTTTTCTTTTTCTTGTTCTCATTCTTCTTCTTTGTCTTCTTCTTCTTCTTCTTCATCATCTTCTCCTTCTTCTTCTTCTTCTTCGATATTCTCAATTTCATTAATTTAATTCTTCTCTCTTCTTCTTCTTCTTCTTCTTCTTCTTCTTCTTCTTCTTCTTCTTCTTCTTCTTTCTTCTTCTTCTTCTTTCTTCTTCTTTCTTCTTCTTTCTTCTTTCTTCTTCTTCTTCTTTCTTCTTCTTCTTTCTTCTTCTTTCTTCTTCTTCTTCTTCTTTCTTCTTCTTCTTCTTCTTTCTTCTTCTATCTTCTCCTTTCTTCTCCTTTCTTCTTCTTTCTTCTTCTTTCTTCTTCTATCTTCTCCTTTCTCCTTCTTCTTCTCCTTTCTTCTTCTTTCTTCTTCTTTATTCTTCTTTCTTCTTCTTTATTCTTCTTTCTTCTTCTCCTTCTTCTTCTTCCTCTTTCTTCTTTATTCTTCTTTCTGCTCCTTTCTTCTTCTATCTTCTCCTTTCTTCTTCTTTCTTCTTCTTTATTCTTCTTTCTTCTTCTTTCTTCTTCTTTCTTCTTTCTTCTTCTTCTTCTTCTTCTTCTTCTTTCTTCTCCTTTCTTCTTCTTTATTCTTCTTTCTTCTTCTTTCTTCTTCTTTCTCCTTCTTCTTTCTTCTTCTTTATTCTTCTTTCTTCTTCTTTCTTCTTCTTTCTTCTTCTTTCTCCTTCTTCTTCTCTTCTTCTTCTTCTTTCTTCTTCCTTCTTCCTTCTTCTTTCTTCTTCTTTCTTCTTCTTCTTCCTTCTTCTTCCTTCTTCTTTCTTCTTCTTTCTTCTTCTTTCTTCTTCTTTCTTCTTCTTCTTCTTCTTCTTCTTCTTCTTCTTCTCTTCTTCTTCTTCTTCTTCTTTAATTCGCCCTGTCACAACAAATAATAATAAATAATAATAAAAACGTTACATATAAAGCGCTTACCACCGAAGTCTCTAAGCGCTAAAATGCGAGTGAGCAAAGCGACCGAGCTTCATAGTTTTTTTCGCATTCTAATCCCTGATCTCTAATATGAATTACGCTTTGAATTGGGGCACATCGTAGATTTTAAAAAAAATAAATTGTCCCCCTTTATCTACTTTGCGTTGTATGCGCCCCCTTTAAGCGCATCCGGGGCACGTGCCCAATATACTCCCGCTAGAAGCGCCACTTCCCAAACAGCGCCCGGATATGTACCCCAACTTTGTGACCCTCGTATTTGTTTTTCAGACCCCCGCTGTCGGCGTTGTTCCGTGGTGACAGTGGAGGTTCAGGGGGCACGTACCATGGGGGGGGGGGGGGGGGCTGTCTCCCACCGTATCAAACCTATACTATCACGTTTCCTCGAGGGGGAAGTTTCTTACTGCTTGCTTGTCTTTAGAGACATAATCATAATTATTATGTTTCTGAAAATTTGAAAATACATCATTTGTAATAGTTAAATTTCCAAAAATGGGAAGCTTAAGATTCGTACAACCCCTACCCCATGATGCATTACAGGAAAAATGTACTTGCACTCCCCCCCCCCCCTCCCCACACCTATGGTTTTATCCCTCGAATAAGAGAATATAAACTATAAGTTTAGGCACAGGATTATAAAAATACAAATAATAATGAGCCTGAACCAAATCGACATGTATTACATTTTATAGAATTACTTTAAATTGAAAAAATAAATTGTCGTCAGATCTTCCCCTTTAATGTTTTAGCGCATGATTTTAAGTGGCGTGATAAACAAACGCAGCATGAGCTTCAAGATGGGTCGTTATTTTGTCAAAGACAATTATCTCGTAAAAAATAGGGATAAGGGAAAACGTTTTAGCATGACTCGCGTCAGCGCATGCAGATTAATCGGTGTTAACTCTAACCAGGGAGTAATTTATTGGGAATTGAGTCTGAGTACCATTTTGCCCGACTGCTAGGCAACGCCCGATTCTGATTTATTGACGGCAACATTGATTCTCTGTCGGACTATTTGAGTATTATAATTATGATTTTGATGATCAAAGTAGATAATCGATATAAACTAATAATTCACAAACATGATTTTGTCATCGTAAAGGATATCAATCAAAATTGAAGTTTGACAGGTCGTATCCAATAATTTAACATTACCATCATGTTTTATTGAGTGACTGATAAATCCTATTTTTCTATAGTGCATCTGTCGAGTAGTTGTGAAAAAAATAAATGTGAAGAAACAACAAGAATTCGAGGTTTGCACTACTCCGAAGTTTGCCGGGGTGGAGAGTGGGGGGGGGGGGGGTCATCTCTTGAATGTTGAAATGCATGTGTGTTGTGCTCCTGTTGTAGCTTTATTTCCACCCACCCCCCCCCCCACTGGCGTACTGATGGGGGGGGGGGCTTGGGGGCAAAATTAAAACGTGGTTTATTTATAATTCGATACCAGTGATTTACAAATGTTGCTGAAATGCCATGAATTTCCTTTTTTTTTTCCTTTTCACTTATGCCGATTATGCAGAGGTGGAACTCCCAGGAGGGGGGGGGGGCACTGTGCCCCCACTTTTTTTCAGTTACCCCCTAAACAGCCCCCTTTTACATAGGACAAGTGCCCCGTTCCTTTCTTATAACAGTTCTTTTCCTTTTTAAAGGCATCGTTTAACAATGTTAAATCTGAGATGCACGGCCCTACGTGTTCAGTATCTGCATGGTGTAATATTGAAGCCATACAAAAAATTGCGCTTCAAAATGATCAAGAAGTTCCTCAAAAAAGTAAAAAATCTTTGAGTGAACGCATTTACCATACTCGTTTTCCCCAATAGACCATAGTGTTATGAAAACCGTGAGGAAAACGCAAAATTACTGACCTATAGGTTTATAATTATCATTGCAGCATGAGCTAAATCCAGGATTTTGTTTCAGAATCTGATACAAAGTTACCCAATCCCTTTAATAAGAGTACTTTTCACCTCTGATAAGTGCCCCTTTTATTTGTAACGTGCCCCTGTTCCTTTCTAATAAGTTCATTTTCATATTTCATTTGGATAAGTGCCCCTTTTTCTTCTTTTTTTAATTTTTATAAATGCATCCCCTTTTTCTTTAATTTAACCTAGAGCTCGCTCACATTTATAAATGTTATAATTATGTCACTTATATAAGAACTGTTTAGTCTTTCTTCGTTAGATTGTGCTTAATGCGCACTGCATGGGACCTTACAAATCTTACAATTTTTTCTTGATCGCTTCGCTCGCTCGAAAATTAATATACAAACCATCAAACCCAACTGCAAAGTATGTTGCTTAATAAGTAGTAAAGATAGAGAGAGAGAGAGAGAGAGAGAGAGAGAGAGAGAGAGAGAGAGAGAGAGAGGGGGGGCATGGAAATATCATCGTAGGTAAGACGGAGAGCGGGGTTAGACTGCGTTTGAAAGCTGAAAAGCTGTAATATCTGGGTGGGTTTTCGGGGGGGGGGTGCCCCAGTGCACCCCTTGCCCCCTTCGGCTTCGCTTATGTTGGAATGAGGATAACATCATCTATATGTCTGGCTGAGCTGTTATGTAAATTGAAGATCAAAAGTGGAATACTATCATCTGAGCATGGCGAGATATGTGTAGCTAGAAATCAATCGAA